TGGTATTCACGGGAATGGTTTTATTATAAGCTCCGCGAAGTTTGTCGAACACAGGACGTTAGGGACAGAACATTATAGAGATAGGGAGAGAGAGAAAGAGAGAGAGAGAAAGGGTGAACGAGAGAGAGTGTGTGTGTGTGAAAGAGAGAATGTGTTAAGAAAAAATGAACAGGGGTCGTTGTAAGCGTTACATTATAAATTCGTCATTTAGAAGTTTAGAAGCTGGACTTCGCTTCACTCGAGAGGTAAAAGAAATAATATAAAAACACACGCGAAGTGTAACGTGACACATATTTATTTGCATCTTTTGTTGTACGTTATAATTATACCTGTCGTCTGATTGTTTGTATTGGCTTCACGCACTTGTCCACGCATCGAAATAGAAGGAACGTTTTTTTCTCTTTTTTGATTACTTGTTACAAACGTGTGAGATACGATTTATTTTTCTTTTTCTTAAGATTAAAAAAAGAGGAGAGAAAGAAAGAAAGAGGGAAGATTGCATTGATAACAAGTGAGAGATGATGCATATTCACGAGGGCCAATAAAGAGATAAGTCTAATCAATCTTTCGGAGATATTTATACAAAGGGATGACACGCGACGAGAGATATGCGTGTTGTATCGTGTAATATGGAAATTCGTAACTTCCGATAGTGTTTACGCCCTCTTCGCAACGTCCGCAGTATTAGGATGCATTCCTGACTTACATTAATATTTTGTAATCGGTTATGAAAGCTTCTAACATTATTCGTGAAATAAAATATTACTTTTTAATCGATAAAACAGATTGATTTGGAACATCTATATATACATATATATACATATATATATATATCGGAAAATGTTATTGTCATCTGGATAGAAAAATGTGATTTCGTGTGGCAATCACGACTGCAACAATGAAGATTGGGGAAGTATTTAATTATAAAATGTATATGATGTGTTTATTTTAATTCAAATTATGCTTATATTTATATTGTTTTTTCTGTGTGGTTATTATTATTATTATTCTAGTTTTTTTTAACGATGTGTATACAAATAAATGATTAGAATTAGATATCACACGAGGGCAGGATATATGTATTAGATATTTGACAATGAACAATTAATTAGAACAGTTAGATTGATATTATGAAGAAAACATTTAACTCTGTTTCGAATTCTGAAAAGGAAAGAAGATGTAGAGTTGACAATCCTGCTAGTTTTGCTTTGTGCACTTTCGAGAAACCCCTGGAACCCCCTCGAGAAATCATTGGAATCTATTCGAGAAACCCCTCGAACCCCCGCGGGAAACCTACGAAACCTATTCGGGAAACCCTTGGAACCCCCTCGAGAGATCCCTCGAACCCCCGCGAGAAACCACTGGAAGATATTCGAGAAACCCCTGGAACCCCCAGGAGAACCTCCATTGGTTACTCGGGCTTTCTCGATTGAGCACCACGGATTTCTCGTGGGGGTTCCAAGGGTCTCTCGAGGGGGTTCGAGGGGTTTCTCGAATAGATTCCAGTGGTTTCTCGCGGAGGTTTCAGGGGTTTCTCAAAGAGGTTCGAGGAGTTTCTCGAGGGGGTTCGAGGGGTTCCTCATGAAGGCACCAGGGGTTTCTCGAATAGATTCCACTAGTTTCTTGCG